AACGTGGTTATATGCTTATATGGTTATGTCACGACCCAACCCGGGACTTGGAATTAACCAAGAAGGGTATAGACAGTCGGCAGGTGTGAGTTAAATCTTCTATAATAATCTATAATTTAACGGATGAAAGAGCCGATAATAAAATTAAATTAAAGTTGCATAATTAAAATTGTCTATTTACTGGTTGTCTGTGTCTTCTATAAACATTATCTCTTCTAACACTCCTCATTAATCATTTAATTAACCTAAAAATTTACTTTAAAATAACAATATGCTAAACATATCATTGAATACTCATACTTATACGCTACAGTAATATAAGGGAAAAGAAAATAATGTGTATGTAAGTCAAGTTTTTAATAAATTAATAAAAAAATATTTGATTTTATTCAAAGAAATTTACAATATCAATAGCATATCAAAATCATTTTATATCTGTATAACCATCACAACAGCATCTTCTAAAAATTGTGTCAAGTAAGACACAAATATTAATATCATTTTCAATATACGTGCACAGATATATTAATATTATCTCGTCGGTACCATCAATGAGTGCTCCATCATAGTCAGTTATGCGCATACAAGTTCATATTTTCATCGCATTCAATTCAGCATACTATATAAAATATACACCAAATGCATGGGAGTAATAGCTACAAACATTCATAACAATTTAACTGATAAAGAAAAAATATCTCAATTAGAATAAAATATGTGCAAATATCATTAAGTGTAAAATAGTTGAGAAGAAAAAAAAAATATTACTATGAATTAAAAGTACGAGTACTCACTTTAATGTCTATTAATTTGTTATTTGTCTTGATGTCGACTAATTGGAAACTTGTCATAAACATAGTATATAAATTATTATATATTAATTTTTCATTATTATAGATAAAATTTTCATATCTTACTTTATGTAATCCCACTTAATTATTTTTTACTCAATATATTATTATTATTATTATCATTATTAATTTTATTACTAAATCCATATACATTTTGTCGATCAGCCCTAAACCACGCGAATGGTCTCCTTCCTCCTTCAATCGCATACGAGCCCCCTGGCTTCTTCCTCTCCACAGAGTCTCTCTTCGTGTTCCTCCTACAGCTTAGGGCTCCAAGCACATGCGGACAACGCTTCGGCTTCCTCAACCCCCAAACTCCTATTCTTATTCTCTCATCATCACCTCCTCCTTCGTCTCCTTCGCACGTTGCTCGATGCAATAAAAAAAACAATGATCATTTTCGTTTCTCATGGCGTCGTATCCTTGGGTAAGAAAAAATTCAACAGCTCTCCTTCCTTCCTCTACTCTCTGACTGCACACCCGAGAGCTCCCGTCTCATGCGTCGATTTATAGGGCGAAGTTACATCTTCAGCTTCCAACCCCTTTATTTCCTCTCCCTTCTGTTAATTTACCTGACCCCTCCCTTGCTCTTCCTCCATTCTTCATTTACCAACCCCTCCTATAACAGAACCATTACAATCTTCCCCACTAACAAAAATTTCATCCTCGAAATTTATAAACATACCTCAAGTAATTTCTCATTAAACAGATTGACATTCGCTATCCACGAAATTAAGGGTCATTCATTAATATGATAAGTAATCGGATACTTCGGATAACTATACTAAAACAAGAAAGTATGATAAGAAAATACCCTATATAGGAAAACATCAAACTCTTCTAATCTCACCACCATCTGCAGCAGTAAGCTCTTCAGGCTCCCTAGGTCGAACAGGTTATTTTGGTTGACCTCGGGTAGAAGTTGAAGCTATAGACTATCTTTTTCTGTTCATCTGCAGTCTTCTGTGAAGAAGCTCCACCTATAGTCTAACCTTCAGCACTCTTCTGGCCAAGAGATGAATAACATCTTGTTATATGACTAGGTTGACGACACCAATAAAAAGTGTTAGAGCCCATCAAACATTTACCTTTATGTTGTCTTTCACATTTCACACAAGTTACTACCTTACTCTAAGTTGTACTTCTACCAACACCACCTGAATTATTCTTGGATTTCTTCTCATTGGATCCTTCTGAGTGATCTAAATGTTCTTCTACGGTTTTCCTTTTGTGTATCTCCTTACGCTCCTAAGTAAGCTGATAGCCGATCTTTACTCTTCTCGGTCCACTACTACCGAGTATTTATCAATCTCTAAAGATACCAACGACTGTTTGATCAGATCCTCTAATCCCAAATGGAATCTGTAACACTTTTATTCTGCAGTAGCGATCAGTTATGGCGCATACCTCAATAGCGCAGTGAATTCTGCTTTGTACAGCATGAATGTCTCCTTTTCTTGCTTGAATTTGATAACTTGTCCTACATCTGTTGTCTTACGAATAGGGGAACGAACCACTCTCCAAATAGTTCAATGAATACAAATTGTGAATCTTGCTTTGTACAGCATGAATGCTATGGGCCACCATCTTTCGGTTTCTCCATCCAGTGCAAACGTCGCCAATGGTACTCTTCATTCATCCAAATAAACCATGCTATCTAGAATCTTCTCTATCCTCATTAGTCAGTTCTCCGCTTCAATTGGGTCTTCAGTTCCCTTGAACAAAGGTGAACGCAGACCTTGAAATATCTTCAAGAACTTATCCGCAACAACTATATCATTTCCGAGAGTTGCAATATGGACTCCTGAATGAATTAATCGAGTCATCGCCGTCATGATTTGGGTGAGGACATTCGTGTTCACATTTATAGTATGTTGTATTTCTTCGTTTTCTATCGGATTATCATCTTCTATGATTTCAAGTGTATCACTATGCCTGAATGGATAATAATTATTAATTTGAGTTAACTTTAACTTTTTACAATCACTAAAACATTCTTACAATTAACTTATTGGTTCTTTCATCAAGATTCAATAAATTAATCCTAAATTTTGGGCTCTTATACCATTTTTTGTCACGACCCGGCCGGAGGATTGGAATTAACAAGAATGGGTACAGACGGACGAATGAAAGAGCCACTAATCAAATTAAATTAAAGTGAAAAAATAAAAATTATCTCGTTACTAATTGTTTACGTCTTCTATAAACGTTATTTCTTCTAACGCTCATCGTTAATCACTTAATTAATCTGAAAGTTAGTTTAAAATAACAATGAACAAAACAATTCACTGAATATTCATACTCATAAACCACGACAAGACGAGAAAAAAAAAACAATATGCATGTCAATCAAGTTTTTAATAAATCAATAAAATTTTTTTATGTTTTTTAAAAAAACTTTATTATATTAATAACATTTCAATATATTTGATAATCATCACAGGAGCACTGTCTAAAAATTGTGTCAATTGAAACACATCAATGTCAATTTCCTTTTCCATATATGTGCACGGGTGTCTTAGTGTTCTCCCACCAGTACCATCAAATGGTGACACCATCAAAATCAATCATGCGCATACAAGTAGTCAACATAAACATATAATTCATATATTAATCACATTAAATTCGACATATTATATAAAACATACACCAAATGCATGAAAGTAAGTAGCTAGAAACATTCATAAGAATATTGTCGATAAAGAAAAATATCTCAATTAGAATAAAACATCATTAATTGCATAATAGTTGAGAAGAAACAAATTATTACTATAGAATAAAAGTACTAATAGTCAAAGGAGCACCGACTAAATGGAAACCTGCTATAAACATAATATATAAATTATTATCTATTAACTTTTCATCATTATGTATAAAATTTTCATATCTTACTTTATGCAATCCCACTTAATTAATTTTTTTTGTCAATATATATATATATGTTATTATTTTTTTTTATTATTATTAAATCCATAAACATTAACTCTGTCAGCCCTAAACGACGTGAATGGTCTTCTTCCTACTTCGATCGCACACGAGCCGCCCGCCCTTCTTCCTCTCAACAGAGCCTTTCTTTCCCTTTCTCCTTCTACGACTTAGGGCTCCAAGCACATGCGGCCAATGCTTCGACTCCCTCAACCCGTGAGCTCTTCTTCTTTCGTCGCTACCTCCTCCGCACGCCGCTCGATGCAACAAAAAAAACTGTGATCATTTTCTTCCCTCATGGTGTTGTATCATAAGTAAGAAAAACTCTCAACACCTCTCCTTCCATCCCCTGTTCTCCGATGCACGCCTGAGAGGCCCCGTCTCAAGCGTCGATTTAAAGGGCGCAATCACCTCTTCGGCTTTTAACTTCCTTGCTTCCTCTCCCTTCTGTTCATTCACCCGACCCCTCCCTTTCTCTTCCTCTATTCTTCCTTTTCCAACCCCTTGTGTAACAAAACTGTTACAGGGGTTGGGGAGAAGGGCGCGTACAAAGTTCAAAATGCATGATGATATGACTGAAACATTGACAAAACTTAGTATGTATCAAGCCTCAAGAGAGATTCGATATCATTGATTGCTCTAAGTGAAATAAGATGTTAGTTCTCAGAAGATGCAAGACCTTGAAATTTGCAAAAGTGAGATGATTGTCAAGCTTGTGAATAGTGCATAATGCAACTCCAGCTGAAGTCATTTTAGTTCACCAACATTTGCATCCAAACACTTGAGTTAGAGAAGCAGAGAAAAGTTGCCTTGATGGCTATCAATTGAGTTTCGAAACAAAAGAGGACACACATTACAGACAAGTTACAGTTAACATGCGCTGACGCAAGATAGCATTCTTAGTAAAACAATGATATTTCAATTCTTACAAAATTCATTTGATGGGCATTTCAATGAAGTACACAACAGTGATGTCAGTAACTGGAAAGGATAAATGATACTTTGTTTGCATTAAAACTTCCAGTTCAGGGAGAGAAAAGCATGGCTTGCACATTTTAATTATTTTTCGTACGCCATACAGGCAACTCATTAATATTAGATGCTAACATAAGAAGAATTTTAATTCCAGTGGGGTTACTCGTATGTTCATATTTCTATATAATCAAAAAAGAGAAAAGAAGAATAACCAAAGTAAGAAAAAAAATCAGACGTGAAAGCCAATACCTGGATTCTGATATAATTATCAAATTCCTCCTTTTGGAGGTCAAACGCATTCCTAAGGTTATCGTCAAGACACAAGATACTTGGAAGAGAAGAAATGTTCCCGCTACCAGAGGAGATGGACGAGTTGTGCTCATCGTCATCATAGGATAACCTCAGCCCAGTTGACACAGGGTTTTGGTTTGGAATACTTGCTGCACATCCAACATCATCTTGGCAAAAATTATTCAAGGAAATCTGAAGCTTGTGAGGCATTCCAATAAAATCTGCATCTCTGCTTCTCTTGTTAGGTTGGTTCAAAGCATAATTCACAGCATCGACATGACAGGCAGCAGGAACTGCAAATAAATTGAAGCAGTTTCAATATTATTTTTTGGAATAATAAACATAAAGCTGGGTCTGCTAAACAATTGGCAATATGTTAAAAGCCTGATTTAAAACGTAAAATAAATGCAACAGGAAAGAGT